GGAGAGCAATGCCAGCAACATGCCATGGGAGGCTGAGGACAGGCCCAGAGTGATGGGGTGCTGAAGGAGGGTGGAGGCAGGACAGTGTGGGGAGCTGCCAAAGATACATCTAGCCTTTTGAACCATTTTTCTGGGGCTCTCCCTGCCTGAGCAAGCTTCAGCAAGCCCCCAACCCCTGCAAGTGCTCTTAGCTGACATGGGTCTTTCTATTCCCTAGGGAACATATCTGGCATCTTTGTATAGATGAGGCATCAATGTCCTTTTGTTGGAGGCTGATGGGGGAGGGTAGAAGTGCAAAAAGTGAGACAAATACATCTGTAACCTTTGGAGCATGCCTGAGTGGATGATGGGAAAAGTTTAAAAGAAATCTGTTTTCAACTAGCTGGACTATCCCATCTGCATGCAAGATCCACACACAAAGCTGACACGGAGAATGGCAAAGGAGGACAGAGACAAAGAGAAACTCACGCACAGAAAGAGAGGCAGCAAAGGAGACAGAGAAACACAAACTTATGGATAATTAACCATTAAGCTAACTGGCAGAAAATGGAAGCTCAGAAGCCCTACAGAAGACATGATGTCATTCTGACTGCGGGCAGCTTCTGAGGAACACTTAGCTCAGCCTCCATCCATTCGGTAATGTAACACAGGAAGGTGTTTTATCCTAGTGATGAGCAGAGGAAGAGAAATCCACAGTCCCGGGCCGCACCTGCCCAGAGGCACCGCTGACTGGTCCTGAGGGCTGAGGCAAAGGGAGCACCCTGCCTGTGGGAGGAACCAAACTAGACAGGAGGGCAGCTTCCATGAGAGTTTACAGAGAATGGTTCAAAAATTAGTTTCTGAGCCTACCCTCTACTACCTACCCCACTCCAACACACACACCCCTGCTCGGCATTTTCCAGTGCTTTTAGACTGAGACAGACTTAACAGATTGAGCTAAATCTGTAGGTGACAGACCGTAATGGTCATTAAGGGAAACTCCACCCATCCTTTGGGGGTTGGGGGATGCCTCCACCCTTTCTAGGCTGATGTCAGGAAAAACTGTCAGCTTTCCCATATATTCCCTCTGCATCCCTATCACAGGTAACCTCATGGGTTGGATGAACCATGGAGCTAGCCTGGAGTAGAGATTTATGTGCTCTTTTAAGCCAGAAAGCCTAATGCGTGGAAAGAGCACCAGAAAGGGAGTTAAGAGACCTGAGTTCTAGGCCTGGATATGTGTGATCTTGGGTGAGTTACTTTCCCTCTCTGAGCCTCAGTTTCCTATCTGTAAAATGATGTTGGATTAGAGAATCTCTAAGGTCTCTTCTATCTCTGAACATTATCTGATTCTCACACCAAAGATGAGATAGAGAAGGTGCAAAAAGTGAAACCCAGATGGTTTCAAATGTGTTCTAGATGCAGTTGAAGGAGACATCTTAAAGGCTCCTGGGTCCTCGCGCTATAACCCTATGTCCCCTGGCCTACAAGACTGGCTGCCTGGCATTCTAGTCCAGGAGACTGTCTGTTGCCCCCTAGGGTGGAGTGCAATGGTAAAGGTCATGGGCTCTGAATCTAAGTTGGAATCCTGGCCCTGTCACAAGGAAGGCAGAATAGTGAGATGGGGATTGTTTGGATACTGACACACCAAAAAGATGAAAAAGAAATGTAAGGATAAACAATTAAAATTAAAAAAAAGAATTAAGTAAAAATTATTAAATATAAATTTAAAAAAAACATAGTGAGATGGGGAAATGCTTGGGCTCAAGGGTCAAAGACCAAAGCTTGGATCCATGTGCCACTGGGCAAGTTATTTCATCTCACTCAACCTCAGTCTCCTTATCTATAAAATGAGAATGATAACAGTACTGATTTCATAGGGGTGCTGTGAGGATCAAATAAGATAATACATATAAAGTGTCCTACCTGGGCTCTTTGTTTATTAAATAAACAGTAATAGAAGTTGCTGTTATTATTATTATTGCCTACTCTGTGGAGGCTTTTCTTGATGTTCATATTAACCAAGAAACACTGGATTGTAAATATTGTGATGGAGTGAGGGTGGGGGATATAGTGGTTGGAGATACCAAATGGAGCCTCAATCCCCTGGGGTGGCCCTGATAATTAAGAGTGTGGCCTCAACTATACCAAATAGCCGTCGCCCAGCACAGGTTGATGTGTGCGCTACCTTAGGACACAGGAGGAAGCCCAGAAAAGGCCACACCCTACTCTTGGACTGAGAAGAGCAGACTGAGACCTCTCTACCACTCTCCTGTGAGAGCTGCTATTTTATTGCCCGACAACTTTGTATTGCTGCCTGTGGTCTAGGGCTACCTCAGCTTGTCACACTAGACTTTTCTTTCTCTCCCAAAGTGGGGAGCCCTTGGCAGTCACCTCCTAGCATGGCTTTGGCATTTGTTCCTTGACAAACTCCAGGCCAGCCAGAGTGTGGGGCCAAATCTCCTGTCTAGATCATGTGCTAGCTGCCAGGCTCTGCCACCTTCCCATGGGCATGCCGGTCTCTTGCCTGTCAGTTTTGGCCCTGAGGTTGCAGCAGCTGTACAAGAGGCAAGGTCACCATCTCGCCTACTCCCACATTCTACTCTGAATTCCTTCAGAATCTGCCCTCAGAGGGCTCCTCCATGAACAGTGTCACAAGGCTTTGTCCTCTTGAAAATATCATCTTCCCAAAAAAGCCTTTATTAAGCACTTATCTGCACGTGGGGTTGTGCTGGGTTCTGTTTCTAGTGAGTCACACTGTCACAGGCTCTGTCCTCTGGGAAAAAGTCTGGAATCTTTGGCAGAGACTGTTAAACCCAGTTTGGCTAAGTACAGAGGTGTTAGAAGGGAAGGAAAGGTTTATAAGGCCATTGGGTGGCGACTCTTCCTCTCATTTTCACCTCCCATTCCTTACTTTCTAGCTTCCTATTCTCTCTCCTCACTCATCCTCCCTGTCCTCCCCTAGACTCCACGACACTTCCTCTTTCCTCTATCTGAATTTCAGATGGACTTATTTCCTCCCTTTTCAATCCAAGGAACTCTTTTGCTGACTGTGCCGCTTGATTTTAAACAAATGATAGGCCTGGCGCAGTGGCTCACGCCTGTAATCCTAGCACTCTGGGAGGCTGAGGCGGGTGGATCACTCAAGGTCAGGAGTCTGAAACCAGCCTGAGCAAGAGCGAGACTCTGTCTTTACTAAAAAGAGAAAGAAATTAATTGGCCAACTAAAAATATATAGAAAAAATTAGCCAGGTATGGTGGTGCATGCCTGTAGTCCCAACTACTCGGGAGGCTGAGGCAGCAGGATTGCTTGAGCCCAGGAGTTTGAGGTTGCTGTGAGCTAGGCTGATGTCATGGCACTCAAGCCCAGGCAACAGAGCGAGACTCTGTCTCAAAAAAACAAACAAATGATAGCATGAAACTTTAAGGTTTTTGAGGGTTTATGAATTCATCCATAAATATATATCTACTTTGGCTAAAAAAGGCATGTTTTAGAAATTCCAGAATCTTACAGCCTTAAAGCAGCACTAGACATTAAAGACACACCAGAGGAAGTCTTAACCAAGCAAATGTCAACATAAGAACCCTAGGAGAGGAAAGAGACCTACTTTAACTTTAAAGGGAAATGTACCAATTCTCCTCCAAATTGCAAGGGGCCAAAAAGATCACAATTTCAAAGTGATCCTCTATCTTCCTGGCCCTGGGACTCTCCCTTATCAGTACTGAGCTGTCTGCCTTCCTGACATCTAGTGCCTTGGCCCAGTTTCTGAAGCCATTTTCATAATCATTTTCATTTTCATAATCAAGCAGTCAGGAATTTTGCACAGTTTGGAGTATCTCCCCAGTTACTCAGCCCTTCTCTGCACATCACTCAGAAGAGGGGCCTTGTGGTCACTTTTGCTGTTTGACCAACAAGAGGGAGGTTTACCTTCACCCTGACTCTGTTTAGAGTCCAACCATAGGCTCAGGAAAAGGCCAACCATGAGTCGAGAACAGCTGGACTTCAGTGTACCCAGTGCCTTTATTACATGTGCTTTTCTCCCCATAATCCTGCCCCCTCCTGCTCCCCTGACACGTGAAGTTGCCCTTGCCATGTCCTCCCCTCCCACCCTGCACATTAACATATTCCTGTCCTATCGAGTTTCTACCTTTTGTGAACTAAAGGTGAGCACAGATATTTTTGTGAGCACACAAGAATATTTGTAGTTAACCTATTTCATAAACTAATGTGGGAGGGGAGGACCAAGGCATTTCCCTGGGCCCTCATCAGTTAAGCTGCTCCACATTTTTTGCAAAGGCCTCCTGAAGACAATACCAACAGAATGAGTAATGGGCAGTTCATTCATTAGGTACCCCAGACAAGTAAAAGATATCATTTGAGGGAGCCTGTTCCAAAAGAACAAGTTTTGTCTATTATGAAGGACCAGCAGGTGACCCTGTCTCAATTTCTTTAGTAGGGCTCATGGCTTTGTGCCAGAATCACCCCACTCCACCCCCATCCCAACTCAGCCCTTAACTATAAACTGCAATTTAAAATAAAACAGCTTTCATTCTCCATGGATTTCCATCCTTTCCTCCCCTATAATGCCTTAGGCTTAGCCAAAGTGGGTTTTTGCAGCCTATTGGCACCCGAGAGGTAGAAGAGAGACCTCAAGATGTGCAAAGTGCTTTGGGATCCATCCCACAGACTAGGACTAAGAGATGCCTCATGCCTCCCTCTGCCCACAGGTGCCGCTGCTTCGCTCTGGGGTCAGGGATAGGATCAAACATCCTTTCCCTGGCAGGAGCTGTCAGGCAGGGGCAAAGAGTAAGAATGCAACCACTCCCTCCTGCCCTAAAAATTGGATAAGGATGGGAAGTGGTGACTGGGAGAGGCAAAAGAGCGTGAGGAGGTGCCCAGGGTCTTGTGCTCAGCAAGCGGAGACCAGCCATGAGCTGGACAATTACAACCACTAGAGCTGTGCCTCAGGCAAGGCCCCCTCCCAGATCCCTCCCTTTCCGGACCTGACCATTTGGATCACCTTGATCTTCTCGCCCTCAATTTCCACGGTCTTCTCCCTGAAGTCCACGCCGATGGTGGCTTCAGTCTTGTCTGGGAAGGTACCCCCACAGAAGCGGAAGGTCAGGCAGGTCTTGCCCACGTTGGAGTCCCCAATCACAATGATTTTGAAGATGCGAATCTGCACATACTGGTCCAGCGACGAGTCAAGCTCCAGGGACGCCAGGCCAGCAGCTGAGGCGGGCTGCAGGCTCCCATGGCCCAGGATGGGCTGTGCCATCTCCTCCGGACCGGACCGGGGCCCCAACCCCCCTCAAGGGCTCCACACAAAGAAAACGGCCACGTTAGTGTGCTCGAGGCGAGCGAGCTTTGTGCGTGTGTGTGTGCGTGCGTGTCTGTGAGTGTGTGTCCGCCCGCGTGTGCGTGCGCCCGCAGCGTGTGCGCGCGCGCGCGTGGAGGGGGTGCCTGTCACCCGGGCCCCCCTCTTCCTCCCCCAGCGCACCCTCCTTGCAGCTCCGAAGCACCAACACAAAAGCCAGGGAGAGGAGAAGAGATGGAGGAGATGGACAAGCCGCAAGCCTCGTTCAGCCTGTGTGTGCCCTCGGACCGGACGCTCCTCAAGCCGCCGCTGCGCCTTTGCCTAGACCCTCCCCTGCCTGGACCCCAGGGACAGACCGCAGGGGAAAGGGAGGGGGTGGGTTGGGCGGCACACACCACCCTGGGATAGCTTCTTTCTCCTTATCCCCATTAATGTTATAGGTTTCCGGCTGCCCACCCCCCGCTCGCTCGGAGCGCACACGGGGGTCAGCGGCTAGGGAGTACAGCTGGGGAGGACAAAGACCGCTGCACCCTAAAGCATCACTGGAGCACTTCAGCCTGGGAGCAGCACAACTCGCCGAGGGTGGGGTGGAGAGCGAAGATACCTCTCTTTTGCCTTGGGAGCAGCGGGCAGCTGAGCCGCGCCTCTGCAGCTGCCCCGCTCCGGGTCCCCTCCTCCCCCACCCTTGGGATAAAGGGATGCTCTGTCTTATTGAGTGAGCAGGTGCACTCACGTGCCCCAGGCAGCCGGGGAGGGTACTGCCAAGACACGCAGCGGATTGCGGGGGACCGAGCAGCTGAGAGCATTGAGCCAGGGGGGCGCGAGTGTGCGTGTGTAAGGGGGTGTTAGTTACTGTTTCTGTCACAGACTTGCCAGATGTAGGGGGGCGCGTACCAGGCGCCAACCTTCCCTCATCACACCACGAGCACCCATCCTCTGAATGTTCAGGAGAGCAGCTCCCATTGGCTGCCGCAGTCGGTTGTGTCTGGCTGGCCAATGGGGAAGGCCCGCTGCGGGAGAGGGTAAGTGAAGGGGGGAAGCTAGTGGTGGCAGCTCCAGCAAAAGGGGACTTTGTTTCTGGGGCTAACCATTACAGGCCCAGGTGGAGGTATCTTGGGACATGGCATAAACCCCACAGTGCCTTGCATTCCTGAGCCCTCCATATAACCATAAGTCCTTCCAAAATGGTGGGGTTTCAAAGGGAGTTGAGAATTCCTAGGAGGGTCCCCCCCTCCTGCAACTGAATGTAGAACAAAGTGGTTGGGTCTAATTTGCCAGAAGCCTAGATTATGCTTGGAAGATGATAAATGAACACAACTTCCTTACGGTATTAGGGGGCAGCTTCCCAAAGCTTACTGTTCACCACACATCTTGGTCAAGGCCATTATATCCTTCCCAAAAGTTATTTGCAGGGTCAGAATTTGTTTGAAGTCAACTTTACTGAGGTAAAATTTACATACAACAAAGTGCGCCCATTTTGTTTGTTTTTAAGACCGTACCCCTCCCTCTACATATTTCACAGTCTAAGATAACACTGACATATGCCAATAGCACTGACACATGAATTATTGCTAATGTCATTAAGGTCAGATTCAAGCAGCACACATGAGCTGCCACCTTATGTATGTGAGGCTGAGCTTCAGGAAGAGAAAAAATGTGACTAAATCCACTCCCACTAAGAGAGAAACAATTCAGTGCATCAGCCATATATCTGAAAGCAAATTGGAGTGTTATTATTTAACCAAGTCTCAGTTACTCAAAACAGGGTCTTCTAGTTAATGTTATTAGTTGAGTTAGCAGATTTATTTATAGCTAACCCTTTTATCATACATATAGGTCACCTATTCCTAAAACCCTAGATTATACTATTCAACATTAAAACCATCAAGATAAGGATTTAATCTTAGTTGGCTAATCCAAGGTCATCATTATGAATGCCAATTATCATTGTATCATGTATCAATCATCACTGTACAGTATTTTGATTTTTTAATTGTTTAATGTCCAGATAATAGTTTGCTGGATCATTCCTCTGTATTTGAAGCTAATACCTGGTGATCTTTACAGAATAGCTGTAAAAAAGTGTGTGTGTGTTCCGTGGAGGGACCACTAATTAGGCACATCCTGTACATAAAGTGGAAAGAGGCTTTGCCAACTCACGGCTAGAATTAATGCCAACTTCCTAAGAGATATTAAAAAATCAACATTAGATCCACATAAGATTATTTAGTTGTATACTTCTGGCAAAAACTTGTCAATGAGTCTACTTTTGTAAGGAAGAAGCTTTGATTTCTGGTGATGTGGTATCTCAAAATGAGTTCCTTGTCCTAACAAAAAGTGTATGTTACCTCTGTGGGGTGAGGTTTTGGGGGCATTTCACTTATATTTTTGGAATTAGTTCAATGAGTATACATTGCTTTTGCAAAAAAGGATGAAATATAATTTTTAATTAAAATAACAGGAAACTATCTCATTGCACCTATTGTAAAAAAAACTAAATGTACTGTAAAATGCCTTTTTGTTAACTGTGTATTATTAAATGATTGTCTTTTGAATGTATGCAGTTGTTTTCATAGATACCTGATTATCATGATTTTGGCAGTTTTCCAAAGTTTCTTTCACCAACAGATACAATGAACTTTGTATTTAATCAGTCCATGTTTATTATTCATTTTTATAAATATCAATAAACATCAATGTCTGTAAAGCCTTTAAAATATTTTTTTTTATTTTATTTCTTTTTCTTCTTAACCGCTAGACCATGTGGGAAGGCCTTTAAAATATTAAGGAAATATAATTTTTACCTTACTCTGAAATTGATATTTTCAATATTTATCCCCCAAAGAAGCTCTAGGTAAAATGTCACCAATTGCCTGCATTTCTTAACACTAATCTACTCTGCTTAATGGGTAAGGGAACCCTGAATCATTTTCATCCAATAAAGACTACATTATGGATTAAACTTCCTAAAACAATGCCTTTGTAATTTCATTTCCTATCCCTGTTCCACTAAGAAAAAAAAGTAACTTCATCACCTACAAGGTTAGGGCCAAACACTTTTGCCAATTCAAATCTGGCCCAATCATACTTACCTGTCCTTATCCCTACTTCCAAGTATGTACTTACTCTCTGGTCATTGTCCCCTGAAAATATGCTGGCTTTTGGTTTTTAATACCTTTCAATTTAACAAACAGCATGGTGCTTCCTCTAACACACTCTACAAATATTAGCTGATTTAGTTTCCCTAATACCCCTGTGAGATTGGTAGATAAGGAGAATGAAGCACAGTTAAGTGACTTGCCCAAATGGCAGAGCCAGGATTCAACCTGGGTCAGTCTGGATCCAAGGTCAACATGCTTAACCATTAAAAAATGTTACCTTTAGGGCCAGGCACAGTGGCTCACACCTGTAATCCTAGCACTCTGGGAGGCCGAGGCGGGAGGACTGCTCAAGGTCAGGAGTTCGAAACCAGTCTGAGCAAGAGTGAGACCCTGTCTCTACTAAAAATAGAAAGAAATTAATTGGCCAACTAAAAATATATAGAAAAAATTATCCGGGCATGGTGGCACATGCCTGTAGTCCCAGCTACTAGGGAGGCTGAGGCAGGAGGATCCCATGGTGGCACATGCCTGTAGTCCCAGCTACTAGGGAGGCTGAGGCAGGAGGATCCCTTAAGTCTAGGAGTTTGAGGTTGCTGTAAGCTAGGCTGACATCACAGTACTCTAGCTAGGGCAACAGAGTGAGACTCTGTCTCAAAAAAAAAAAAAAAATGTTACCTTTTGTCCCAACGTATTGACCATCTGAAATATTGTTCCTTCTCCTCCACTATTTGAATTTTACTACTCATCCTTCAAGACATGGCTCAAATAACACATCTTGCAAAAAGTTCTTCCTTAGGAATTCCATTCCACACTCCTCTCTGATAGCACTACAATATCTGATGGCACTACATCAGATATTATTTATTATTTCAATGACCAGTAGGTCATCTCCCCAACTATATAGTGATCACTTCCTATGCAGATGCACCTGAATTTACCATAAGGCTATGTCCCAATAAACCTACTGTAAGTCCAAAATAACTTAAGTTGGAAATGCATTTATTTATTTAGACAGAGTCTTATTCTGTTGCCCGGGCTAGAGTGCCGTGGCGTCAGCCTAGCTGTGAGCAACCTCAAACTCCTGGGCTCAAGCGATCCTCCTGTCTCAGCCTCCCAAGTGGCTGGGACTACAGGCATATGACACCATGCCCGACTAATTTTTTCTATATATTTTAGCTGGCCAATTAATTTCTTTCTATTTTTTTTTCAGTAGAGATGGGGTCTCACTGTTGCTCAGGCTGGTCTCGAACTCCTGACCTCGAGCCATTCCCCCCCTCCCCCAGCCTCCCAGAGTGCTAGGATTACAGGCGTGAGCCACCACGTCTGGCCTGGAAATGCATTTAATGTCCCATAAATTCATCGTAAAGTCAAAACAAAAACACCACTTTAAGTCCAGATGCCCCTAGTCTTAAAAGAGGTTATGTCCTGATAAACCCATCACAAAGTCTAAACATCAGAATTCGAACCATCGTGAGTCATACTTTTCATACCCACCAGAGCCCCTTTAATGGTACAGTCCAAGCGGCAAATGCTCAATAGTACTTGTTAAATGAATATGTAACCCAAATCCTTGGAAAAGGCGCGTTATGTTCTGCACACAGCCAAAACATTATTCCTAATTTAGCTTACATTTGGCAGAGTCAAAACGCCTATTTACACTCAGCCCCTCACCCTAATCCTCCCACAAATTTGAAAATCCAGTTTAGGACTTCTCTCACGCTAAGTTTGTGAAAAACGAACTCTTTTTGCCAGTACCTTGCTCTTAAGCACCGAAGCCGTAATAACAGGAGACTATCCACAGCACCTGGTGCAGCCGCTAGAACACAGAATTGCACAATGTAAAGGTAATATGGGAAAAAAGAGCACAGAATGATTAGTTGTCTCGGAAACAGGGGTTAGGTGGGAAAGTGCCGGCAAGTTGTAAAAGGCAGAAGTACAAGCTGGGTCTGGGAAGCCAGGTTCCTCCACTCGGACCCATGGAAAGACTGGAAATGGACGATAGCAAGAGAATCCGGGAGGCTTAAGTACCTAGTGACTAGTGGCCTAAAAATAAAGGACAAAGTGTGCTGCTGGAGCCACGCTTTGTAAGGTGTTGTTAGCACTTCCCGTTACAGACACAGCGTCAGCACCAGCCATAACCGCCAGGCAAAGCGGCTCCCTGGGTCCCTCCCACGATAGCTTCCCAAACTCGCTCAACCCAACCCGTTGTCACCAACTCGCGGAAACTTGCTAACGGGAGCCGGGAATCCTAGCAAGCGTGCTGGCAGCTAAGCGCGTGCGCGAACCTTCTCCCTATGCGGACCAATCACAATGCGGCATTGAGTGCTACGCCTGCGCAGTATGCCTCTGGTCGCTGTTCCCCTTCTCTGGATCCGGCGGGCCGGCATCACTGTCCAATGCCCACTCGGAGCTGGGAGGAGGAGCCTGCGTAATGTGCGTGTAAAGGGAGGGGGAGCGGGCTGGGGCCCATGGTGTTTGACCCGTCGGTCGGTGAGTAAGAAGAAAAGGAAGGAGGAGGTCCAGAGTAGCGGTTGCCGAAATGTTCCGGTGTGGAGGCCTTGCGGCAGGTGCTTTGAAGCAGAAGCTGGTGCCCTTGGTGCGGACCGTGTGCGTCCGAAGCCCGAGGCAGAGGAACCGGCTCCCAGGTGACTGACCCATCCCAGACAACCCCCACCTTGGTGTCCCAGGGCCTGGGCGCCTTAGGCTCCTTGTGACTTGCAGCCCTCTCCCACCCTCTCATAAAACTTAACGCACTCAGTCGCGTGAATTCCAAATTGGCGGGACCCAAACCCTGAGTTTTGCAAGCAGAGGAGTCGGCGCAGCTGTGCTGACCTGACCTTCAAGAGATTTGAACCCAGTAGTCGGCTTGTGGCCTTTTCCAGGGTGGGTTTGCTGTTCAGGGATAACAGAACTGGCCATCTCGTATTGTCCATTGCCGCCTCTCTGTGACTCCCACCCCACCTTTTTACAACAATGAGGTCAAGCAGACTTTCTCATTTACCGATTGTGAGACTTTAAACAGGACATTTAAACCCTACACCTAAGTTTCTTGTGTAAATGAGGGCATTACCTGCTCTACCTTCCAAACCCCAGATGAGATCCATAGATTTAAATGCCCTATGAAACAGACACGGTGCAGTGCAAGTAAGGAGTCAGTCGTTTGTGCACCAGACACCAAGAGAATTGGCCGAGAATTTATTTGAGATGCTTGATCAGTGTAATTCTTGGTAGTCCTTAATGCTTCAAAGAAACAGTTTGCAGAACACATTGTATTTTTCCACCATGAGGTTGTTTAATCAAATTTAGAGCTGGAGGGGATTTGGGGTTAGAGTTCAACCCACTCGTTTTATAGATAATAAACTGAGGCACAGAGAGGGTAAATTACTTGCCAGAGGTCACATAATTAATTGATAGGTAGAGGTACGGATAGTTAGATAGTCTCTAGGTCCCTATCCCCTTGCTACACCTCCACACTGCTTCCTAAAGTTTGACTTCAAAAAGAATGAATCCGCCTCCCTTCCCAGTAATTAGTCCATTGTGTACCAGATATCTATGAATTTATCTGAACATGGTTTCAGCCTGCTTATTTTCAACTTTCACAACTTAATGAGGGTAATGAATGATCCACCTGTAGGAGGTACATTTAAAAAAAACAACAGTCTTTGAATGTCCACCCCCAGGGCATTTGCCTTTGCTGTGTCATAAGTTATTTTTGAGGCCTTTGCAATACAGAATCACCTTCTGGGTGCTTTAAAAATAAAAAGTGAAAAATATTACCCTTGGATTGTTAGGGTCTTTGCAAATGTGCATTTGAACAGTTTTTCCAGTTGCTGTGAATCAAGAAAATGTTTCCTGTTGGGTTTATCTGAGTTATGTCCTAAGACATATTGCTCTTGGAACTTAAAAAGCTTTGCCTTAGCTTTTAAACTAATGCCCCATCAATGGATGTCATCTCTGCGGGTTTTGTGCATTGAAATGATGGTGCTCTATGTAAGTTGCACAGAAATTTACACAGAAATTCAGATAACCTGAAGATTTTCATCCATACAGGCCTTTCAAATTTTGTGTACTTATTTTGCTTAAGACTCAGCTTTTACCAGTATTCTTAAGTCTGAGCAAAAGTTCTCATCAATTAAATCTACATTTGCAAAGTTAAATTGATCTATTAGACATTTGAAGGTGGTTGGTGACATTAGAACTACTAAAAAGTACAGACTCAAATGGTTTTTTCCATTGCATGGCTTTGTTTGAAGGCAGTCTACTGTACAATATATTCTGACTTCCTGACATATCCATTCATCTCTTTTTACACATTTATTCTTTGTCCTTTGGCCATGCACCAGAGTA